CACCGAGTCGTTTGTTCGACAGAATCAACACAAAACCAACCGCGGGAAACTTTTTTAAAACTGTTTTAAAGAGGAGCCCACTCGGCGTGTCCTATATGAGAGGCGTTCAAGTACCGTCGGACATTTGATATTCTCATTAGAAATAAAGGTTTCCTGCATCTGAAACGATGTATTTGAATTATTACCATATATCGTCATTACATCTGTAGTTAATTCGGTCTCAAAATAATGACGACAATAATATTGTTTATCAGGAATAATTTGTAAGACGATATATCGTCCAGTAAAACTTGTTATCGTCTCGAGGCTAGCACCGAACCTGTCGCTTTCCTCCGTTCCTGAGAACCAGCAGCGGCTCCAGAGTTCATGGTTGGAGTTTTCATTCGTAACTAGTCAATATAGTTCACCGTTAAAAGTCGACTAGTACTAATCACCAACCAGGTCAGTGCTGCCGTTAGCCTGACGTCAGCAGTCAGACCCTCAACTCAAACTTGTATCAAACCACAGGCTAAGCTACACATAAACCAGCGACAGCCGCCGTTCGATATTTACCGTCAAGTCAGGCCGTACCGTTAAGACGAAGTCAATGAAACTGAACAAACAGGAGCGAAATCACTTTAAAAACCGCTAACCTTTCCACCGCGATGTCGAAGCCGGACGAGGTGCACCCGCCATTTTGGAACACCTGAGGTCGTCTGAACGTAATTGCCTTTTTAAAGACGCGGTTGTGGCGGCATCTGACGTCAGGACTGCCATGTTGGAGCTTTACAGAGCGACAAATAAATAAATATAACATGTAAATAAATTGTTTGTTAAATCTATATGTGAGAATGAAAGGAGAACATTAAAAGAAAAAAAAACATGTTTGTACAAAACGATGAAAGTGTAAGGTAAGTTATTGTGTAAACTCTTTATAAATAAAAAATGTCGAACCAATTAATTTCGAAATAAATACGCCGTATCCGAAAACATTAACATAGTAATATATAGTAAGTAAAAATAAATAAAAAGTACAGTACTAAAGTAATGACCACTTATTAGGAAAACACAAATTAGTGAACTGTTACATTGAAATAATTAAAATAATTTTTAAAATATTGACATTTTATTATTGTATTTTTTATTGATAAAAATATATATTTTAAATATATTTTTAAAATTTTGTATGGAAAAGATACAGAGTAATTTGTAAGCCTACATCTAAAAAGAGTGTTAATCACTTATTTTCACAAATAACTTATTTATTCACAATATTACAGAGCAAAGAAGGATACACACGTGCTGCAGTTTCTTACATCATTTGCACCACCTAAAATTTACATAAATGTGTTAATAGCGATTACAGTTATTATATTTTTTGTTTAACAATCAGCTGGTCAATAGAGAGGAAGTTGTGTCATGTACAAAAACAGACCATACAAATTAACCAATGTTATCTTAAAGGATCTTATTTTTGTTCACAATAACAAATGAGACTATTGAAACCAAAAATCTGCAGCTTTTTCCAATAAATTCCAATTGAACAAGTTTAATGTAGAAACAGAGCAGATACCAATGATATAGACACGAAAATATTTCTCCACCATCTTTAGGGTTTGAAAATAACATGAAGAGCTGAGATATTTGGTACACGTTTGTTCATCTGATGCCAGAGGTTTTGTTATATATAACTCAGGAATGAAATGCAGCTCCATTTCTCCAGTAGATGAAGTACAAAGTACAAAGTCCAGCTCATATTCACTGCCCTGTTTTTCCCCCATTTTCTTTCTTCAAAAACGACCAGTTAAAGGTTGCAGGTTCAGACAAAAACATTTCACGTTGCCAACCCGTTGTCTCACTCACTGGAAAATATCTCTAGTAATGTTTTACAAAAAGCATAGTGAAAAAATACTCACATTACACTGAAGACACATATTTCTTACACGGTAACGTCCAGTGTTTCCTCTGTGTATCTGCAGTTCAACAGAAACAAAGCAGAAAATTCTAATTCTCTCACAGGAAGAGCAGGAGTCCAGGAGTGAAACCCACGGAGAAATCTTCAGACCTGCATATAAAGAGCACACCTTCACAGAAGGTAAAACAACCACACGTCTGTCACATTGCTTTAAGCAAAATGGGATGTGGAACATCTACAACTGGAGGAAGTCTACTGTACACTTATTATATTATCTAATGACAGTACCATCTCTGACCACAAGGGAGGAGCAAAGCAAAGTTCCACCACAGCAGAAGCTTCAGCAATTTCTGGATTCACACTGTGTGTATTTTCTGAAAACACCACAAGAGGTATGTGAGTACATGTGCATGAGTTTACCCCCCCCACCCCCCCACTCCGCGGCCCCTTCTCCAGGGGCTTTGTCTGGAAAACAGTGACCGACTTAAAAGGCTAGTTTTTCAACATTTAAACCAACAGGTTCTCGTGTTTTATACTCTCTCGTGGTTTTGGTAGTTTGGTGACAGACTCACTGTTACAAAGTGCCAATCAAGGCTATTAGGTTAAGGTGTGCTTATAGCGCCCTCTACTGGGTCGTGTGGTTACTATTTCATACAGTTTCAGACATACTACAAGGTGTTTTCAACCCTTACCATCCAATAATTGACTGGATACGTGAATTTCCGGTGAACTTCAGGTGAATAGTGACAACATTTACATCTGTTTATACTGAATTCACTGAATGAGAGAATAATGGGTGTCGGTTAGAGAGAGAGAGACAGAGAGACAGAGGGAGAGAGTGGCTTTGTTAGCAGCAGACAACAGACATTAGCTTCTGTTTAGTCAAATTCCAAATGATGGAATTCTTAGGTATGATCAATAAGTGTCACGGAACTAAAGTGAAATTGCAACAGTGCAGAAGTTCTTTTAAAAAAACACATTAACATTGACTTTGACATGTGGATGCTAAGAGTTTTTCTGCTGTTTTTTTTCGTTTGTTTTTACCTCAACAAACCTCCACTTCCAGAACAACAGCCCACATAAACGTTCTTTTCTGGACCATATATGAAAAACTGAATATTAAAGTGAATGTCACTAGATGGCAGCATTCAAGCTCATTTAATTAACTTCAACAATCAGGGGACTGTATGCAGAATGCTGATGCCAGAAACGTAACATAAATAAATATCACCGGGCCTGTGTCGGTATCGGTTGATATCGGAATCGGAAATGAAGCGTTTGGACAATATCTGCAAAAGGTTACCACGGAACATCCCTATCTAAGACTAGCTTCAGTGCCAGACCTGAGGCAGCGCAGTCCAACTCACACTTCAACCAGGCAGAAAATGCAACACTTTGGCAGTGGAGTCGTGTCGGACAAGGAGCAGCAGCTCGGTGGTGTCACCAGGAGGTGCCTTTAGGAACAGGCTTTGGTCTAAGTTAAGCTGCTGTCGTTGGCACTGATGTCACACTCTTCACTGCACACGCCGTGACCCAGACCACTGAAGACGCCAGTCACATGACCCTGACCTGGACTCTGTGGGACCAGAAGTGCAGCCCCCGCCACAGCAGCAGGAGAGGCCATGATGTTGTTGCTTAGAGAAGCATTGCTACTGCTGTTGCTGCTGTTGCTGTTGCTGCTACCTCCCTTGGCTGGGATGCCACTGTTGCCATGCTGCGCTGACAGCACGCTGCTGGAAAGATGTGGTGAGGACACGGAGACTCCTCCTAAACCTCGCCTCACTCCAACAACATTACCATGACCTCCTTCACCGTTATGCAGGAGGAGGTGGGGGGAGGACATCACATCAAGCCCATCTTCAGCTCCACCTCCCCCCCTCCTGCGCCCCTCACCCCCGTTCCCTACCTCATCCCTCTCCTCCGGCCTTCCGTGCCTTTCGCAGTTTGAGCGGTGCCTCATGAAGCTGTCTCGCCACATGAACTTCTTGCCGCAGCCGGAGCAGTCGTACGGCTTCAGGCCAGTGTGTGTCTTCATGTGCTCAGTCAGGTGATGCTTCATCTTGAACTTCTTGGCACAAACGGGGCAGTTGAAGGGCCTCAGATCTAGGTGCATGTTTATGTGCCGATCCCTCATGCTCTTGTGGGTGAAGGTCTTTCCACAGTGGCACATGAACACCTTCCCTGAACCCCCGCTGCTCACCGTGCCGCCACTGCCCCCCGCATTCCCCCCACTGCCTTCCATGCCATCAAGTCCCAGACCGTTTGGCACGGAGAGGTGGACTGCACCGTGCTCCAGGCCGTGTCCTTTAAAAGCAGCTGCTCCCATGATGCCACCTGCCACCCCCAGAGGAGGCGCAGCAGCTGCCCCCGCAGGAGTGTCCAGAGAGAGTCCAGGGCTCTGGCTGTAGAGGAGGATCTGGTTTCCCTGCATGTCCAGGGGGAAGAGCTGGGCCCGAGCCGTGGCTGCAGACTGGACCTGACTCAGCAGAGCTGACACCGTGCGGTTAGCGGTCTGTCCTGCAGCGTTGTCATGGAGATGCTGAGCCAGAGTCTGCTCCATTAAACTGCCTTCAAATTTGAGGTAGTCTTCTGAAGACTGGCAGTAGTCCATCTGGAGACAGACAGTGGGAGAAGTACAGGTTTGGACCAGCGTCAGAGCGTCACCATCAACATCTCAACTAATAATAACGACTCGTAACAACCGGACTCACCGGTGAGTCCATGTCATCTTCAACTCGTCCTCCTGGTTCACCTGACAGACTTCTGATGTTGGAGATGTTGAAGTCCTTCCTCTCACTGCCTTTGTCCAACTCTACCTCATCTTCATCTTCCTCATACCCCTCCCCCTCCTCCCCGGATACAACAATGAGGTCGTCGTCCTCTGGACGTTCCGTCTTCACCACCACCCACTGTTTACGAGGCATGATGCTGGGCTGACTGTAGGTGGGACGTCGGGGCAGTGGCATCACTGACTCTTCACCATCCTATGAATGCAAAACAAAAAGTTTTAAAGTTACCAGAAAGAATTCCATTTCTGATCCCGATTCTTCAACTAAAACTTAAATGTTGTGATTCGACGAAGCCTCACCTGATAAGAAGAAACTCCAAAGCTGTCACTGACTCCGTCTTCCTGCTCTGACAAGTTCTTCTTCCGTTTCCCACTGCCTCCTCTTCTCCTTCTTTGGTTGTACAGCACATTGTCCTCGTCCTCGTCCTCCTCTTCCTCCTCCTCTTCCCCAATAAGAAGGGCCTCGTCTCCTCCTGATAGGGGGCAGTAGCTAGGAGTGGTGTTGGTCCGGCCGGCGTCTGCTGCAGCCCCAACACTGGCCGCGCTGCTGCCACCGAAACCAGTGCCATCTCTGGGGCTGAAGTAGTTGGTGCTGCTGGGAGACTGGCTCTCGCTGACGGACACACGGGCCGGACGCTCCGAGCCCAGCTGGGACTCCACCACCTGAGCCTGGACCCCAGCGATGCCACCGTTACCGCCCGCTGGAACAGCATCTCCATTACTGCTGCTGCTGCAACCGGCGTTGGACGACGCCTCGCCTCCTCTGGTCTGCACACCGCCTGCTCCTCCTCCCCCACCACCTCCTCCTCCCCCGCCTCCACCCTCAGTGTTCCCTACCCCAGAGACAACTCTGCCCTCCTTCAGCAGCTCTGTGCATTTGTCCACGATGTGCCACATCTGCAGGACGCTGCCCACAGTGAGGTAGTTGACAATGTCCTCGCGCAGCATACGGAGCTGACCCGTGTAGGCACAGCTCAGGACGCTCTCGAACGCCAGGGGGTCCATCACGGCCGGGATAGAGACTGTGGACATGTTCTTCAGTAGAACCTGGAGATGGAAACAACAGCGGAGGTGTTTGTTATCAGGTCAACTCACAGAAATGACTTGGTCTTCTCTGATTGGCTAATTAAGGCCAATCAAGAGTTGACATAAAGGACTTCTTATCATACAGCTAAATTCATCATCGCTCCACTCAACAGAGTGAACTGGAAACTCACACTTTCAGCCACTTGGTGGCAGTGTTACCCTGTATTTAAAAAACAAAATAAGTTGCTCAGTGTTTCGTGTTTCGTCTTCATGGAAAATATACAGAACATCTAATGTCTCTCCCACGGATCAACTCATTTTCACTCCCACCTGGTCGTGGAAATATGGAGAAGAGGCGGCCAGGACGCAGCGGTGGGCTTTAAAAACCTGTCCCTGGACGTGGATGGCCAGGTCACACAGTCGACCGTCCTCCCTCTGTCGGTTCAGACTGTCCAGCACTGAAGCCTGAGCACTGGGGAAGCAAACCTGCACCATCCCGCCTGACGTGTTGCTGCTGCTGCTGCTGCCGCTGCTTCTGGTGCCCACCCCCCACGG